TTGACGCCTGCTCGAAGGTTGTATAGACTGGACAGGTCTATTGCTTCTTCTGCTTCGGTTAGCAAGTTGTCCAAAGCGAATCCTCGCTACTCTAGCCATTGCAGATATGAATTCTGTCAGTTCGCTAAAATTTGGCTCCCTGTCGTTTTCAACAATCCGATCCACGGTCTTTGCCCAATTATGTTGCAGAGAATAAGGCAACTCTTTAACTATTTGGTTCAACGTGCTAAGCGAATTAAGATCAGCCGTGTAACCCATTTGTTCCAGGGCGACCATGCAGCTTTCCATTCGAATAGCTAAACATGACAATACATCAGCGTCCACGCCATTCATGTTGAGACCCTCAGTAATCCATCTAAAAGTGAGCGCGGTACATCGTGTGAGCCCCCAAATAGATCTTTGAGAATCGTTCATGCCCTATCGTACCCAACCGCGGGTGGCAACATGATGCAATCTCCGATTGCGCTCCTATCCTTCCCCTTACAGTAATGAAGCAAATATAACAAGCGTTGCCCGTCGTCAACGGTGAAGTGCAGAAAACCAGAGGTCTTTGTCCCCCTATACAAAAGCATCGTCCGCCCGTATCTGGAATATTGTGTACAGGCTTGGGCTCTGTTCTTTCGGTAGGACGTCGATACCTTAGACAGTGTTCAACGTTTAGCCACGAAAATGATAGTTGAGCAACGGGGGACGAGCTAGAAACAACATATCGAAAGCCAATGAAACTCGCTGATAACATACAAATCTGGACGCCCAATTGGCAAGAGCCACTTACTGTGAGAACTGAACTAGGCTCCTGCTAGGCCCCCTACTGTTTCTCATATTCATCCACGATCTGGCACAGGATCTTCAAAATCCGTGTTTCGTGTTTGTTGATGATGTCAAAATGACAGGGTTAGACTCACAAAGGGACCTATAGGTAATCCATCGTTGATCAGTCAAGTGAGACTTACCTTTGAATCTAAGCAAGTGCCGGCTCCTGGCAACGAGGGATGGGACATACTCGTTTAATTGGGCTTTCATGCAGCAAGCCCAGCAGATGAAAGATCTAAGGGTGCTTATGACCCAAGATTTTAGACCCTCAACTCAGTATTCCAAGGCTGCCAATCAGGCTAGGGGCAGCTGTTCAGGTTGCGTGCCACAGTGGCATGCAAAAGGCCTGAGGTTTTCATCCCACTGTATGAATTGATTGTGCGCCAACACATGGAATGTTGTGTGCAGGCATGGACACCGTATTACAGGAGGGAAGTAACGTGCTTAGAGCGAGTACAACGCCTAGCCACCCGAATGGTGACTGGGCAAAAGGGGAAAAGCTATGAGCAGCGGTTACGAGATTCAAATCTCTTCGCTGGAGCGTAGACGAATGAGGGGAGATCTGATAGAGACTTTTAAAATTGTAAGAGGTCTATCGAGACTCAATCTGGATGACTTGTTTACGATTTCTTGTACTCAAAAC